GCTCTGTGGGACTTGAGTGGCTCTGGAGGTGGCTCTCCAGTCAAAGAGGCTGGTGAGGCTACACGCATTCCTTCCCCCACACCCCACCCCTCTGTGTCGGGCCTGGGCCCTGGAAGTGGGGTCCTTCCTCTGCATGGTGAAGTGCTTGCTCGCTACTTGGTGGGGAGGGGCCCAGGTTTCTGCTCAGTCTCCTCCCTTCCTGGGCCACACCCTCCTTGTATCCTGGGACAGGCCTGGGCTTCCTCAGTCACCTGGTGAGATATGAGCTATACGACACAGTGTTAGGGTTCAGGAAATCTTCGGGCAGGATCCCTGCCTGCTTTCCCTGGGCTGTTCTGCTGTTGAGGACCTCGTAGGGTTGCCTGGTGCCTGCAGGGCTGGGTGTCATAGGTGGGAAGGGCCCTGTGCTCACCAGCCCTCCTCAGCGTGTGGCTCTGGGAAGGTCACTCATGGGCCCTCTCCCAGCTTGTATTGGTTTCTCTCCTCCCTCTCCCACCTCACACCTGTCCCAGGACACAGAAGATCTAGATCACTATGAAATGAAAGAGGAAGAGCCAGCTGAGGGCAAGAAATCTGAAGATGATGGCATCGGGAAGGAAAACTTGGCCATATTAGAGAAAATCAAAAAGAACCAGAGGCAAGATTACTTAAATGTACGTGCCTTCTGGGGTGAGGCCGGGCTGGGTGGCGGGGCTGACTGGGGGGGTCGTAGGCCAGCACCCCCCATAGTCCCCAACCTTGGCGTAAGATTGCACTTGGGAGAGGGCTGTGATGGGCCCGACCTTGGCGTCCATCCCCTACACGCTGCCCCGTGAGTGTGAGCCTGTGGCTGAGCTGCACTTCGTCCTTCTGGTGCAGGGTGCAGTGTCTGGCTCGGTGCAGGCCACTGACCGGCTGATGAAGGAGCTCAGGGATATTTACCGATCACAGAGTTTCAAAGGCGGTGAGTTGACTTCTGCGGGGCCATTGGAGTGTCATGCTGGGGACACCAAGGTTCTGGGATACACAGATGTTTCGGGCTGCGCCTGTCTGCGGGTGCACCTAGAAGCCTGTGTGCTGCGCCCCACCCACCCGCTTACCCCTGCCCTCCCCTCCTCCAGGAAACTATGCAGTGGAACTCGTGAATGACAGCCTGTACGATTGGAATGTCAAACTCCTCAAGTGAGTGGGGGGTGGTTAGAGAGCCCCTGGGGACAGGTCCGCCACAGGTGCCTGTGGTGCCAGGTGCTAAGGGCAGGCCCGTTGTTTCAGAGTTGACCAGGACAGCGCTTTGCACAACGATCTCCAGATCCTCAAAGAGAAGGAAGGCGCCGACTTCATTCTCCTCAACTTTTCCTTTAAAGTGAGACTGTCCTTCCAGTCACCCCTCCTCCCCCACCTGCCCTTCTGGAGGGCGGCCCTTCCTAACTGGACCCTGTCTCCCCCCAGGATAATTTTCCCTTTGACCCGCCGTTCGTCAGGGTTGTGTCTCCGGTCCTCTCTGGAGGGTGAGTTTCCGGGCAGCTCCTGCTGTGGAGGGGGGGAAAGGACCAGGTGCTCAGGCCCACACTGACTAGCCTTTCCCCTGCAGGTATGTTCTGGGCGGAGGTGCCATCTGCATGGAACTTCTCACCAAACAGGTGAGCCTGTCCTTGTCCTGGCCAGCGTTGGGCTGAGCCTTATGCTCGGCCCTGTGGGTCGGGTGAGAGACCCCATGAGACCCTTTGACTGTGCCGGGCAGGGCCCGCCCTACTGACCCATGCGCTCGGTAGTGGTGGCTGTGCTGGAGTGGAGGCTTCTGTGGAAAGCTTTCCTGACCCTGTTATGTGCCACCCGCAGGGCTGGAGCAGTGCCTACTCCATAGAGTCTGTGATAATGCAGATCAGCGCCACACTGGTCAAGGGGAAGGCGCGAGTGCAGTTTGGAGCCAACAAAGTGAGACCCCGGAGGGAGCAGGAGCGGCCCGGGCTCGGGAGGGCACATGCTGGCCAAGGGGAGGCTGTGGAATCACTCCCTGAAGGACTTCCTGGGGAGTGCCAAGGCGCTGGGTGGTGACTGAGGGAAGGGCAGGTGCGTTAGAGCCACTGCTAACATGGCTGAGACGGTGGCTTCCTCTCCCCAGTCTCAATACAGTCTGACAAGAGCACAGCAGTCCTACAAGTCCTTGGTGCAGATCCACGAAAAAAACGGTGAGGCTGGAGCCAGCATCGGAGATTGGGACACTTGCCAGGCCTGAGGTTTTACTTCCTGCTAAATAGCAAGACCCCCACCCCCTGCCTCCCTCGGTCCCATTAACGTACCTGCTCCAAAGACAGGCTGGGGAGATGGTTCCCCTCCCCCAGTGCCCAGGGAAGCACAAAGGACGGGTGCTGTGCCCCCTCCCCCCCTGCAGCAGTCTCAGCCTCTCCCTCCTCCCTCCCGTACACACGATCCCTTTCCCGACTGTCTGCAGGGGCTGGGAGCAGGGACCACAGCCAGCTCTTCCTCACTTTGGTCTTGGCTTTCTTTGCAGGCTGGTACACACCCCCAAAGGAAGACGGCTAACCCTGGGGGCCGGCCCCCTTCTCCCTCCCCAGGCGCCACTGGACCAATTACCTTTGAATGCTGTATTTGGGTCTCACGCTGCCTCTGTGGTTCCCTCCCTCATTTTTCCTGGACGTGATAGCTCTGCCTATTGCAGGACAATGATGGCTATTCTAAACGCTAAGGAAAAACACACACACAGAACTGTCTCAAGTACTCAAGAACGACTCACAGACCAACCAACACCTGGCTGGAACCCTTGCTAGCAGGCATTCTTCTAAAAGAAACTCTCGAGCCTCCTTCTATTGCTGGGAACTCAGCTGTGTTCCAGACTAGAGCCTCCTTACCTATGCTATGGATTTTTAATTTATTTTCTCTTATTTCATGTACACTGCTTTTTTTGGTTACAGTGTATGATGGATGTGTATGAAAAAAAAAATGTATCTTTGGGAAAACAATTACAGTTTGTTAATTTGAAGACCTGGTCTTGACTCATCTTTCTTTTGATTCCCACATTCTGCCCTCTCTCCTGAGCCGCTGGGCGGTTTGGGGGGTGGGGGTACCCGGCCCCTGAGGCTTTGGGAGAGGAGATGCTGCGCTTTGCTGTTGGGCCGGCGAGGTGGAAGCACGTGCTCCCTGCAGCCTCTGGAGTGTCCAGTGCCCACGCCCTGGGGACACGGCGCCGGGCCTGCCTGAGATGCTATAGTAGGCGGAAATGACCTTGTTTCTAGGATTGCTCTTCCAGTCAGAATGTTTGCAGAGTTCTAAGAAAAACGACAAGGCTTAAGAGGCTGTTTCACAGAACTGCTCTGACATGAGTGGGTTTGGGGGCCTAAGTGTCTACGTGGTCGTCTGCTCAGCAACACTGGCTGCAACTCGGCTGTGCGTTGGTTCCCTCCGCTGGAAAAGTGGCTACATAGAGGAATTGGAGGGTCATGGTCAGTGGCTCCCTTACCCCCTCACCCCTCGTTTCATCTGGTCTTGGAAAGAAAGGGGCACGGCTCTGAAGTTGTGGTCTCGGAGAACTGCAAATCCTTCCAGGCCAGGCCTGGCCTTTGGGTGGGCATCATTGGAGGGATTGGTTTGATCTGTATGCCTTGTCCTCACCCCTCCAGGGGCTCAGGAAACTGCTGGCAAGGGGAGCACGGGGCCCGGTGTCCGCTGAGCTACCACATTGCAACTTCATGCTGTTGGGAGGAAAGAGGCGCGCTCCTGCCTATGGGCCCTCCGAGGGCCTGAGTGCCCCTGAGGCCCAGCAGTGGCCAGGTGACTGACATACACAGCCAAGAGGGCTCAGCGAGAAGCCCCTGAGTTTCAAAAGCGAAGACTGTTGTGGCCTGGGAGCCAGTAGGATGCCAGGGGAGTTCTGGAATGTTCTGAGACTGCAACCTTCCATTGGCCGTTTCCCCCGGCCTTGCTGCTTTAGGTGACAGAGAGTTCTCAATGCTGTTCTAACTCCACACCTGTTCCATTAGGGGTGCTAATGTATGCTGAGGCGGAGGTAAAGAAGGAACTTAGGGGAAAATTTGATCCATGGAGCAAAAATCTGATTTTCATGGTCTGGGCTCTCCTGGACCTGCCACCAGCCCTGGCAGGAACGTAGACTGTTTTTTAGTTGTGTATTGTGGTTCTGATCTCTGTATTACGTATTTTGTAATGTATTTTTTCTCATCTACCAAAGGATGGAACAAATAAAATTATTTAAATAGTTCGGTTCTAATAACATTATTTACATAACGGAGCCTTTGTTCAGCCAACATACAGGAAACCTCACAGTTCCAGTGAGCTGGGTCACTGCTCAGAAATTTAATTTTCTTGCTATACGCAACACTTCCTTTTAGGACCTTAAGTTTAGGATTTTAAATGAAGTTACAAAGTATAAACTAAATGGTCAAGGTCACATCATCCTAGGCAACTTTCCCTTCCGGGAGAAGGCAAGGAGAAGTGAAACTGGGGTCACCCCCCTGTGCCTTGGGTCCACACAGGAGCCACAGCTCAAGCCTGGAGCAGAGCGAGTGGGCAGCCCTTTGGGATGTGGTCACTGGGGAGGTGGGGGGCAGAGCTGTCTGGACAGCAATTGGCCACTGCAACGCAAGAACCATGCCAACATTTATTCATCAATTCACATGATAGCCATGATGTTTGTGAATCACGTGCTCACTAAAGGCCCCCCACCCAAGTCAGCCGCGGGGTGCCTGGAGAAGCGAGAAGGGCCACTTCATTTGCGCGCTCCTCATGCTCTGGACTGCAGACAAGACACGGGGAAGAAATCCTGCCTGCCTTGGGCTTTCAACTAAAGGAAGTCTCCTCGGGTCCAAAGGCCTCCTGCATCGGGGAACCTTAAAGCCCAGGAGAAAGCAAGAGTCTGCTCTTGTATAAAAAACAAGAATGAAATCCATACTGGGAACCAGCAGGTCACCCCTCAGGATGAAGGGGGAAACGCAGGCGCTATAGGAGTGTGGATCTGAGAGGATCTGGAAGTGCCTGGCTCTTCCCCTCTATTTAAATTCTTTAAACTTCAGGATGTGTGGCTAGAAGGGAAAGCAAGTCTTAAGGGCAGAACAGCAGGTGTCCCCACCTGCCCTTGGATAGCTTCAGTCTGTTCCTCGGGGAGGGGAAAAACAGGGCAGTTACCTCCAACCCCAAAGTGCCTGTGACTTTCCCTCTGAGGATACAATGGCTGATCTGATGAGAACCCAAGACACCTGCAAAACAAAGGACAGCACCCCCTGGTCAGGCAGGAGGAGAGGGAGGGACGTGTGGGCAGGAATTATGGTCCGTCTGTGCCGAGCCTTCAGTAAAGCACTGTTAGGGTTACAATGAGCCCAGACAGCAGAGCCCTTCTGCCAGGGAGCGCCTGTGTTCTCGGAGTGCTGGGCTGCAGCGGAGAGAGCACCGGGGCTGAGTGAGCAGGGAGAGCATCCTGCATGTCCTGCATGGGGAACAAGGCAGAGTGGGGTGCTGGCAAGAACCCACTACTGCAGAGAATTTCCCCTCTCCTGGACCAGACTGACACTGCCCAGGCCCATGAGACGGGCTGATCTAGGGCATCTTGGGAGCAGGAGAGCGAGGGCAGGGCCTACGGAAGGACTCTGCCTTGCATACTGCTGACCCCCATACGGCAGATCCCTGGCACTATGTGGTCCCCCAAGTACTACCACGTGTGACCCTAATCCTTGCTCCTGCCCCAGAAGATCTTGGTTCATGCCCAGCAAGCGGGTCTCTTGTGCTCTCACTCTCTTCATCCACAGGATGAGGAACACTCTCCTCCTGCCCTCTCGGAGCTCAGCTCACACGCGAGGTGACATAGGGCGTGGGCTGTTCTCTTCCTGGACCATCCCCACCCCAAGGGGCCCTCCTGGAGCTGGGGCCGCCTCGTGCAATGGCCATGTCGGCCTCTGGGTGGCACCCTTGACCACTGAGCACAAGACTTGGGGTGCTCCAGGAAGGTGCCCTTTCATCCCTGTATCTGCGGGGAGGGGACTGGTCATACTCAGTGGGGCTTAGAGACGGCTGCTGGCCCATGCTGGGGATACAAAGCAGACTGTTCTCTCTCCAGCCCCAGGACTGGCTCTTCACCTCCTCCCATCCCGGGAAGACTTCTTTCCTATTTACAGCTCGTCGAACCCCAGTTTCGAGAAGGGGAAGGACCAGGGGGATGTCCCCATTTCAGGGACACCTAGTCCTGATCTCAGACACTCGTTTCCTTCCCCAGCAGAATCCCTGTCTGCTGAAACCTCCAAACTCCGTGCAGGCAACAGGTGAAAGACGACTGACTGGCTTGAGGCAGAAATGGAGGACAGTGGTTCCCCAGCTGCCTGGAAAACTCAGACACTGGCCAACACCTCGGGGAATACAGGTTCACGGAGCCCCACACAGCACAAAGAGGCAACCCTTTAGCAGCTCTGCAAGGGGAGGCTTGGATGGGGAGAAGCCTGAAGTATGGGGAGCACAACCCTTCCCAGCCTTTCACCCCACCAGGGCACTCGCCTTGCTCCAGCGCAAAGGGCTGAGTCAGCGGGGGGACGGTCCAGAAGGCGTCGCTCTCCAGGCTGCGCAGGGAGCCCACGGGGACGGTGGCCGTCTGGCCGAAATCGATGAACATGATCACGGCCCAGGCGCCCACCCGCTCCAGCACCCAGCACCTAGGGGGGAGGCGGGAAAAGGGGGCGGTGCCCTGTGCTGTGGCCGCCAGAGCGAGAATCGCGCAGCAGTCAGGACTGTCCTCGGGCGCGGGGTCAGGAGAGGTAGCCTCGAACAGAAAGCAAAGGGGACAGGCCTGAGAGGCGCCTGGGGGCCGCCCCCCAGCGCCCCCACCTGTTCCAGGCACAGCCGCGGTCGCCCAGCTGCAGCTCGGCCAGGCCACGGGCCCCGCGCTGCACCGCCTCGTCCCGCAGGTACGGCTGCCGTTCCTCGGCCTCCGCCAGGCTGCTGAAGAGCGTCTGCATGTTCTTGTGCAGCGCCTGGTGGGCACACGGCTCGGCCTCACCACCCGTCGCCGGGATGGATGCCCCCACCCTCCGCCCCAAAGCCTAGGGCGGCGCGGGGCGAGGGGCGCCTGTCTGCAGACCTCGGTGATGCGCATGGCCCAGAAGAACGGGGTCTGGGGCACCACGCTGGTGACCAGCAGCCCCACCTCCCCGCTGGCGCTGCAGATGGTGGCCAGCCAGCTCAGGTCCCGGAAGCATTCCCGCAGCAGCAACGCCAGGAAGGAGCCCCTGCGGGGACAGCAGGTGAGCCGGGGCCGACGCCACACCGCCCCCTCCCGGGCGACAGGGGCATGGCAGCCGGCTCGGAGTCGTTGATCTGGGGGCCATGCTGGACAGTGCCAACGGACTCAGCAGTGCCATCTGGCACCAGGCACACACAACACGTGCACAGCAGGTGTCCACAGTGCAACCTCCCCAGCCTCACAAGAGACACGATGACTCCTGGCACCCAGGGTCCCAGGGTAGGGAAGCTGGGGGCTTTAGGGCATATCAAGGGATGTGGGTATTTTATTAACTTAATTCTTTTTTTTTTCAGGGGGGCACAACCTGACTGTGCTCAGGGATCACTCCTGGTGGGGCTCCAGGGACACTGTGGTGCTGGGGGCTGATCAGGTCTCTCCAGGTATTTTATGGAGCCAGCCTGGAGAAATCTGGGTGTGGCGCCCCTGCTGGGAATCCCAGAAACTGCAGGTGTGCAGGTTTCTCAAGCTCAGCTCACCTCATCTCCATGGGGACTGCAAAGATGGGTGTCCCGGGTTTCTCAACTGTATGGATGTCCCCGGCCCTAGCAGTGGGCAGTGCACAAGCTGCAAAGCAGAAAGTAGAGTCCTGGAGGCACCCCCTGCCCCCCCAGAAGGCGCCGCCCTCTGAGGTAGGATGTGATGGACACAGTACTGCTGGCCAGGACTCCAGGGCTCAGCCTCCAGCCTCTGGGGCAGCAGGAAGGGGTACTGGGCACCCCTCTGCAATCCAGAAAGCTCTCGGGAGTACCAGATGGGGCCATTCTGCACAGAGGGTCTGCAATCAGCCTGCAGAGACACACTGGGGGCTACGAGTCTCACCCAGGCTTCTGGCAGACACTTCACCAGATGTCTCCTCTGCACCCTGAGGAGGAAAAGCAACACACTCTGACCCTCTGCCAGTGGCACTGCCCAGCCTGGCGAGCGGCTCTCTGCAGGGGGACAGGGCAGCCCCCAGATTCTGAGCTCAGAGACTCTGCAAGGACTACCGCCCCCCCCCCCCCACACACACCCTGCCAACCCACCCCCACCTCCAGGGACTCCAAGTGCTCCAGCAGGACTTACCAGTGTTGGCACCTGTGAGGTCACCGCGGGCCCCTCCTGCAGGAGGAACAGAAGACAGATGGGAGGGACCTGCTGGAAGCCAGGCAGAGCCCCTGGGCCTAGCCACACTGCCTTCCCTCCACTGCTGCAAGGAAACACCCCCACCCCACTGAGCCAGGCCAGCACCCAGGACTCTGCCACAGGCCTCTTCACGCCTTTGCCCTCCTCACACCAACCTGGTAAGCCTGCCTCTGGGGAGCAGCAGACTCTCATTGCCTGAGCTGCCCGTGCCCTCAACACCATTGGTGTCACACCCCTGCCCCTCTCTAGGGCTCAGTGCCCCTCGGGGACACAGCCCTAGAAGGGGACTTACCCAAAGGGCCCCTGGGTCTGATCCTCCCACACACCCCCCCCCACCCACTGCCCTCTCAGCTCCCTTCATTCAAAGCCCCGTTGTTTCCACACCTGCCTTCTCCACCCGCTGCCCTCGCCAGATATTCGGGCCAGATTCCTCCCTCCGCAGCTCCTGCACCAATTCACCAGCAAGGGGCCAGAGGCAGCACTGGGGCTAAGGTGCCTGCCTTGTATACGGTCAACCCCAGCACTGTATCGGGTGCCCTGAGTTCCACCAGGAAAGATCCCTAGGTGCAGAGTCAGGAGTAAACCTTGAACACCACCAGATGTGACCCAAATCATACACACCCTGCTCCAATCAAAGAAAATGGGTTGGGCTTTGATTCTAGTTCCAGAGAACTGAACCTTTGCTGTGGGTTAGTTACCATGTTCCGCTTGCAGGACCACAAAGCCCCACTGCCCGCAGTTGCAGGGGTGCCAGTTCACACAGGGCCGGCCCCAGGTTCCAGGTCAACCCCCTCCTGCAGAACCCAGCCACTCTCCCTGCACACAGGGCCACAGGGAAGCATATATATTAAAGCATATATATTAAGATCTGTCCCATCCTGTCCCTTCCCTTCCCTCTTTCCTTCCCTTCCTTCCTTCCTTCCTTCCTTCCTCTTTCTGGACCACACTGGTAATGCTCAGGGCTTACTCCTGGCTCTGCACTCAGGAATTACTCCTTGAAGTGCTCAGGGATCGAACTCAAGTTGGCCACGTGCAAGGCAAGTACCCTACCTGCTGTACTATATACTACTGCTTGGACCCCTTTCTTTCTTTCTTTCTTTCTTTCTTTCTTTCTTTCTTTCCTTCTTTCTTTTTTTTTCCTTTCTTTCTTCCTTTTATTCATTCTTTCTCTTTTTTTTGAGGGGGGTGGAGGTGGTTTTGGCCAATACCTGGAGGTTCTCAGGTCTTATTCCTGACCTGGTACTCAGGAATCACTCCTGGCAGGGCACAGGGGACCATATGGGGTGCTGGGGACTGAACCTTGGCTATGTGCAAGGCAAGCATCTTTCTCACTGTATTATTTGCTGACACCCTTATTTCTGGACAAGTCTTTTCCCACATTCCAGGGTGGTTTGATGTCAAATGTTCCCGCAGGATTCCACGGCACTGCCTGCCTCATGTCCATCACACAGACTCTCTCAGAAGCTTTATCTGAGTGTCTGAGCTTTTTCTATACTGAGTGCCAGGCTGCGGGTCTGCAGCTGCCCCACTTGTGACATCCAGGCACACACTCATTCTGAAAAAGTGCATCCTTCACTCGGGAACTCCAGGACTTGCACTCCCACCTGTCTGCTGCCTGCAGCTACCCCAAAAACTGATCCTTGATGTTGCCTTGTTTTTAAAGCTATTTCACACACACACACACACACACACACACACACACCCCATACACATATATTCACACACACTCCCCACATGCATATTCACTCCCCACATATTCACACACACATATGCCCCAACCCACTCATACACCTTCGCATATTCACACACATGCCTGAACACTTACTCACCAGCAAACTCACCCCACACACATATTTACACATATCCCCCACACCCACTCATATTCATACCCTCACATACACACACATTCACCTACTTGCACGGTCACCTATACACACACTCACACTCTCCCACACATGCCACACCCAGTCCTATGCCCATAGAGACCAGTGGGAAGTCTCAAGTTCTGACCTCATGAGGCTTTAATGAGTCACTGCAATACCACTAGCCCATAATATTACACAGGCCACGTAGGCAACCAGGGTGTCACCAGTGAGCCAGTCATCAACCCAACTGACCAGCTATGGAGCCCCCTTATGTGCTGGCGGTAACTGGCCCCCTCAGTGATGATGACCCCCGCCCTTTGTCCCCATCGGTGGTGTCCAGGAGCCTGCTGGAGTCACAACTCTCCAAAACGGTCATAAGCCACTGGCAGGGGGTGTCTAAGGGGCCCATCAGCAGAACCACAGCAGTAATCAGGAGGTCCCATGGCCTCAGGGGGCTCAGGCAGCCTCTGAAATAGAGGTGCACATGCTCACCAGCCTCCCCTGCAGTGAGAACGCTGCAAGATGACCTGACACCTGCTCCCCAGGGCAAGGAGAAGGAACAGCTCTGCTGCACAAAAAGTGACCTGCACAGAGGCAGATGGGCACTGAGGCCACACAGCCACGACCATGACCTGCTTCACCAACAGCCACATACAAGCAAGACAACAGGCATCCTCACCAAAGAAATGGTCTCAGCAGAAAAAAACAGATTTCAAGATAATAGGCAGCTTAGGACTGGAATAGAAATAAAAAGCACAGCAATGGGCCAGGGAGTGACACAGTAGAGTGAGCAGGGCACTTGCTTTGCACATAGCTGACCTGGGTTCCATCCTCAGCACCCATAGGTTCCCTGAGCTCTCCAGGAGTGGTCCCGGAGCACAGAACCAGGACTAAGGCTTGAGTATCACTGAGTGTGGCCCCTTGCCAAAAAAAAGGCACAGTAGAAGATTAAAACCACAGAATTGAGCAAACAGAAATAATCAGGACTTGGGAGATGTGTGCTGAACATAGACTATAGATACCAAACATAATGGCCACTTAATACCTGTATTGCAAACCACAATACCCAAAAGGAGAGAGAGAGTAAAAGGAAATGTGCCTGCCACAGAAGCAGGGGGATGAGGGGAGGGGAATAGGGGTGATGGGAGAGATACTGGGAACGCTGGTGGTGGAGAATGGGCATTGGTGGAGGGATGGGTACTAGATCATTGTATGACTGAAATGTAAGCACGAAAGTTTGTAAGTCTGTAACTGTACCTACCTCACAGTGATTCATTTAAAAAAAAAAAGAAAAAGAAAATAATCAGGGCTATAAGCTAGAATCTGCTTCATCTGGGGTGCCCTGGTGATATTGGCTTGGTATGGGTCCTGGAGAGATCTCTGGTGCTGTGATGTCTTCCAGGACTTGCTGCTGTGTCTCTGAGCCAGGGCTGTTGGTGCGCTAAGATCCACATTACAAAATTTTCAGCAGATTATATCTTGGTGAGATCCATCCTAGAGATGGTGAAGTCAGGCTGGGTATGGTGGTGATTTTGTATTGTGGAAGCAAGTGACTGCCAGGGACTCTGCTTGGGTGGGCACAGGCCAACCCGCACCCTCCCATTTACTTCGGTCTATTCAGCCATGCATAGGTCCAAGCTTAACTGAGGCTTTTGATCTCTTTCGAGATTTATTTAGGGGTCTCTGAAGCAAGGTCAATAGTAGAGCTCACAGGGTGGCGCTGGAGGTGGTTTGTGGGTGTGGCTCCCACATACCTAACTTTTGGCCAACTAATTTCTTGGTGAACTCCAAGTTGTTGGGATCTGGCCAAAGGCACAGTGGCAATTTGGGGGTATCAGAAAGTCTGAAGGTACCATCAGGCTGCTGATGCACTCGCCCAGCAGGTACAGGTTGACCGGTTGGTGGCATCATACCCCCTTTTTTTGGTTGCATTTTCTGTTGAATACAAAGTATGAAGCTCATTTTCAGTTCTCAATTATGTTCATTGAATTGTTGGAACTATAACCTAGTTTTTTAAACAAAATACTTACTAAAAGGGCCTGGAGCGGTAGCACAGCAGTAGGGTGTTTGCCTTGCACATAGCCGGCCCAGCCGACCCGAGTTCAATTCCTCCACCCCTCTCGGAGAGCCTGGCAAGCGATTGAAGAGTATCTCACCCGCAGGGCAAATCCTGGCAAGCTACCCGTGACGTATTCGATATGCCAAACACAGTAACAACAAGTTTCACAGTGGACACGTTACTGGGCCTGCTCGAGCAAATCGATGAACAACAGGACGACAGTGCTACAGTGCAGTGCTATAAGCTAGAACAACAGAAATCATAGAAGCAGATTTTTTTTTTAATTCAAAAGGTTGAATAAACCCAAGGAAATTCAACTCTAAAAACTGGTGAGAAAAAAAATTGAAGGCAATCAGGAAAAAAAAAATGACCTCTTTAGAAGGTAAAAATACGAACTATCTGGAGCCATAGTACAGGGTGGAGGTACTTGCCATGCACATAGCCAACCAAGGTTCAATCTCTGGCACCACAAAGGGTCCCTTGAGCCCTGCCAAGAATGACCCCTGAGCACAAAGTCAGGAGTAAGCCCTGAGCACAGCTGGGTGTGGCCCCCCCAAACAAAACAAAAACAAAATGGTGAAAATAACAGCAGCTTTCTGTTATTGAAGCCATGAAGGCAAAAAGAAATGGCAATCTACTTCTCAAGTGCTGACAGGAAAAGAACCTAGAGAAATATCCTGGGGAACGAAGGGGAAATTCAGAGGTTCTCAAGGAAGGAAAACAAAGGATCTGTCACCAGCAGACCATGCCTTAAACAACAACTATAAAGGAAGTTCTTTAAACCAAAAAGGAAATGATAAAAGAAGGAA